CTCCGAGCTGAAGTCCGGGGTGCTGTTCGTTCTTTCTCGATTGCCGCGCGCCGGGACGGAAGTCCGTGGTTCTTTCCCCGACCTCCTCCTTGCAAATTCCGCGGTTTCGTTCGGCGCACGGGAAAGGGGTGCGCGGCTTGCGATTCTTTTGCCTGCTCTGAATTTCGAGCTGCCGGAATTTGTTGCCTTGGCCAAATGCTCCTACTTTTCTAGATCTGCCAGGCCGGGTTTTCCAGGAATCGGCGGCTGATTTGTGGCTCCTCTCTGGGGCTTTTAGCGATTCGTTGCGCGGTTGGAGGAAAGCTTCCGTCTAATCTAATTCTGGTGATTTTTGTCCTGCAGATTCGGCCGCGGGTGATTCTCAGGGCCGAATCATCGAGCGCCGCGCATGGGCAGCTGGAGATTCGTGGAGGGCTCCAACGTCTGGGTGAATTTGGTGGCGGTCCCTGCCAATTTCGCCATCGCCGTGGTGGAATTCGCGCTGTGGAGCTCCGCCTGGTGCTTCCTGGCCATCTTCTCCGCCAACTTCTGAGCCAGAATCTCACGCTGTTTCTGATTCCCAACCTGTCGGTGCAGATTGGATTAGGATTGCTGTAATTGGGGCTGAAATGATTTTTTAGCTGATTTTTAAGAGGGGAGGTCATTTTGACTGGATTGGGTTTGAGGATGGAGGAGAGGCTGTATGATGCCGGCGATGGCTCCGCTGGCAATCCGAGCGCTGAGGATGCCGCTGGCAATCCGAGAGGTGAGGACGTCGCTGCCAACTCGAGAGGCGAGGACGACTTCAGGAGCTGCTGTGGGGACGAGGAGGAGTGGGAGGACACGGAGGAGTCCTTCATGGCCGGCGTCTCCGAAGCGGAGCTCGACGAGACTTCAGTGCGGCTCTTCTTCAAGGGTGTGTCGAGCTCGGACGTGGATGGGAAGAAGCTGTCCGGGATCGGCGTGGTGATGGAGAGGACACCTGGGGTGCCTCTTCACAGGGTGCAGAAGAAGCTGGATTTCTATGTGGATGAGCTGGTGGCTGAGCACTTGGCACTCATGGATGGCCTGTTGGTGGCATTGCAGAAGGGCATACGCAAGATCTTCGCCTTCACTAATTCAGAGAAGCTATACTTCCAGGCAAGAGTTTCTGGTTTTTCCAGTAGATGTTCTATACTGGTTCATATAACTGGATGCATTAAGATATTGGTTTCAGTCAGCTCACTGACTGATGATTTTTCAGTCAGACTTTGTGTTTGCCAAAGTAAAAATAAAAATCAACGGTCTCTTCAGTTTAATCAAATCGAGTATTGCTGTTGCTTTCTTGAGGTGTATTCACAGGATGGTGCATTTCATCTTGGAAAATTCACAATCTTGACTGCTAAATCTGGATAACCATAAGCTAATTCTGACCTATTGACCTCATGGCTGATTTATATATAGCCGTAGTTGTTATGGAAAAATGTTGTTAGAATTAAAATGTGGGGAACAGAATGGTGAAATGTGAATATGGAGTGAGTGTGCACGCAGTGCCCTATTTAAGGTATTCCATGCAGAAGCTATAGAATACTTGCTAGTCTGATGTGCTATTTCTGTTCAATTAATTAACTTTCTCGCGGCAGTGTATCAAACTGAAACTATGCATATTTGGATTAAGTCAACTGAACAAGTCTTTGTTTTCTTTATTTTTCTGCGACAGATTGCAGAAGCTGAAATTCTTGAAGACCAGCTTTTGGTAGCTTTAGGACACAGGATTCTTGAACTGGTTGAGAAGCTGGAGGATTTTGATCTAATATTGCTTCCTAGCTTTGAACTTGAGAGGCCATTGAAGTTGGCCAAAGAAGCAATAGGCATCGTGTATGTATCTCCCTATGAGGTTGCCACCTGCCCGCTATGCTGCGAGGAAAGACGAGGTTCTCATATGATCAAGGTCGGCTGTTCCCACAAATTTTGCTACAGTTGCTTGATTGTGTATGTTGAAGGCAGGCTGCATGCCTCGAAGCTGCCTATTAGATGCCCACAGTTAAGGTGTAAATATCATATTTCGGCTGGTGAGTGTAAATCATTCCTTCCGGTGAGCAGCTATGAGTCCCTGGAGAGGGCTTTCGCGGTGGGCGGCAGCACCTATGACATGGAGGGGTTCTATTGCCCCTATCCAAACTGTTCGGTTTCGTTAGACCTCAGTCAGCACTTCTCCAGGGCAAGCTCGTCCAGTCAGTCGGACCTCAATTGCATCGAGTGCCCGGAATGCCACAGAGATATCTGTATCAACTGTGGAGTGCCATGGCACATCATGATGGGGTGTGATGAGTACCAGAGCCTGCCTGTCGAGGAAGGAGGTGCAGGGGACCTATCTTTGCATCGGCTAGCACAAAACAATAGTTGGAGGCGATGTCAGAGATGTCGACGGATGATTGAACTAACGCAGGGCTGCTTCCACATGACTTGCTGGTATGCTCTGCATGTCCGTTCCCTGCATTTTCCAGATATTTGTAGCTTCAATTTGTCGTATAGTAAAGCCTTCTTGTCGTTTCTTGTTAACCCTCAGATTCCCTGAGATGCATGAGATTTCGACAAAAGCATAAAAATAGTGAATCTTTAGAACATTATTTAAAATGGCTAGTAATTGCTGGCCTGTGAACTGAAGGATGTTACCACACAGAGCCTCAAATAATGTTCCTATTTAGTGCAGACTACTGGGCAGACTCTCATTTAGTATTGAAGATCCATTCATTCATTCATGTGTGTGTTTTCATGCGATTCTTGTATCCAGGCTAATGAAGGCCCTTTGCCATTTTCTGCAGGTGTGGCCATGAGTTCTGCTACTCCTGTGGCGCCGAGTACAACAACGGCGTACAGGCATGCCAGTGCGTATTCTGGGACGAAGACAACGCTGAGCCCTCGGCGGCGCAGTCCTGCCAGGCATCTGAGATCTGGGCGTGGGACACCTTCGACTGCATGCCCACGGCCGCCGACGGCTACTCGGAGCAGGAGCGGGCGCAGCTGGCGCTCATCCAGCGGTTCCTGGCGGGGGGTTTCAGCCTGAGCGGCGACCACCACCACCTGAGCCAGCAGTCGTCGCCGCCCCGCTGCGCGGCGGACTCGTACATCGTCGACACCATGAAGGACCTCCACCAGCTGCCGTGGCTCGAGCGGTTCGTGTCGGTGATGAGCGACACCTACAACGACGACTACATCCAGTGAATGAAGAGTTTAAAACTTGAATCATAGATATAGCATTAGAAAGAAGATATGAGAATGCCGCATATACTGATGACTTCCTGTTCGGAATAATGTGTTCCCCTGACAAAAAATCCACCCTGTCGAAAATTGGTTGACACTGGGAAAACAAAATGATACTTCCACCTTTGTTTGTTTGTTTTGTTTGGCTGCCCCTCCATTATTCATTCTCTTTTGGTATCTTCTGCAACAGCAAAGAAGCTTGGTTACCTACCATTTTCCCTTTTCTGTTGGACAACATCATCAATTTTTAAGTGGAAGGTGCGTGGTCGGCCACTGAATTAGAAAAATCTTCTCCTGATGCTTATATTTTATAATTCGATTTGATGTGAAAAGTAAGGCATAAAGGTTGACAAAAGCAACCCCAACAAAACTAAAATAGGAACAAAATGTTCTCCTAATAATTATTTTACAATTTGATGTGAAAAACCAAGCATAAAAGTAGACAAAAGCAAACCCCACAAAACTAAAATAGGAACAAACAGGATTACAAGAATCCATCGCAATGCCAAATGCAACGGCAAGAGAGAAGAAATAATGTGCATGATCTTCGGCAGCCACTCGACAGTAATATCCAGACTTGGCCCTAATCCAGACATGGAAATTTCTAGTAGCAAAACATTTGTTGTACATAGATGGAATTTCTTCATACTTCGGCACAACAGCCAGATGGCATCAAGTTTAAGCATCTCACCACACAATCCTATAAATATTTTGAGCTCTGCATAGGCATGAATTTTCCAAGATAAGGATATGTAACATAACCAAAGCCAGTTAACTGACTGATGCACTTCTAGTAGCTAGAGACGACTACTGCTAACAAGACTCATCATGGTGATTGTCCTAGCATCCCACCGCTCGTGTCGTAGCCCGCGTCATCGTCGTCTCCGGCACGATGCTTTCGAGCGAGCAGGTACTTCTCAAACTCCTTGAGGTAGTCCAGGAGCAGCACGATAGTGAAGAGGAGGAACCCGCCAAAGTAGCTGTTACCACCCCCACCGCCTCCACCTCCGCCGCCTCCTTTGCCGAAACGGAACGGAGGGAACCCACCGCTTCCATCGTCCAACTTAGGTCCTTGAACCTTTCCTGAAACCAGAAGCAAAATTAAGCAATCCAAGTCGGCTGATTGTCCGCTCCGATGAGAACAAGATTTCGATTTCATGCAGTGTGAGAACAGAACAGAACAGAACAGAAAAAACCACCTTTGGGGTCAGATCGTTTGACAGTCGCGGTTGAAGATTTGCGCTGAACACTTTGGGTTTGAGCACTGCATTTTACACTCTGAAGCAAACAGAGTGAACACAAGAAAAAACAGTCAAATAAAGGATCTGATAGTGAAACAGGCCATAATCAATTTACCAAGCTGGCCCTTTCCCTTCTTCATTTAGACACATTCACAATTGAACGCAAGCATCATAGTGAGCAGATATAGTATATTACTCCCTCCGTAAACTAATATAAGAGCGTTTAGATCACTCTTATATTAGTTTACAGAGGGAGTAGTTTTTATTGAGCACTAAAGTTACGAGGTAGAACCGAAGAAGTGTACAAGTTATGAATCATGTCAAGCTCATGACCTGTTCTGCTCCCAACTTCCCATTTTGGACATGAAAATACAATAGATACTCCTAAATTCAATATCAACAATCTAATAAGAAATGATCAAATTTGAATGATAAACTCTCAACATTGAACACTCATTTTTACGTATAGGTTGATAAGAATAGATACGGATCCATTGAATATTTGTGACTTACCCTCAGTGTTGCTTTAGTAGAAACTTCCCGTTCAAATGAGATGCGGTTAACTTGAGTTTTCTGAAATTGTGAACCTACACAAACCGTAACACATCCATAAGCATCTTCAGATGACACGCGTAGGGATAAGAAGAAATGAATACTATAAGCATGCTAGGCAAAGCAGCATTCAGGAACCGCTGTCACGTGATTATGAAATTGTAATTGCTCAGACAGCAAATGGCGTGATGTCAAGATTTGAGTACTGGAATAGTTATACCAAGTTTCCTGAACAACATCACTAGGGCTGTAAAGTTATGAATGAGGCAATAAGAAGAATGATACACCCTTTTTTCCTAAATGTAAGACGTTTTGGCAGTTCAAATTTGAACTGCCAAAGCGTCTTACATTTACAAACAGAGGGTGTAGTAAGGTAACACGGTACTGCAAGGAGCAGATCATGAAAAGCTTTCGAAATGTGGTAACCAAAGAATTTTCCGACAGAGGAGCAAAATCACCACCAATACAGGACAATGATTAAAGGAGACATAAACATTGAAATCACTTCAGGAAGTAGTGGTCTGAGAGCCATACACTGGCCTCGAAACATCTGTAATTGTTTTCCATACCAGCACAGCACTACAAATTACAACTATTTTGAGTTGTTTTTATAATCACAAAATGCATCTGTGTGCATTCTGAACAAGAACAAATCAACAAGGAGTCCCGAAGAATGAACGTAGGAAACATCTATCGACCAAATTAAGTGAACTCATTCTCAGCCCCGTACCATTTACAAAAGTAACTCAAGGTCAAGGCTACATAATGAACTTTGCAAAGAAAAGAAAAAGGTTAGTGTCCAGAAAACATAAACTTCACAGAAATAGTTCAATCCTTGCCAGATTCAGGAACTTTTCCATGGTTGCAAAAGATTGTAAAATTACAGCCATCGCTTAAGTTTATGCTAATACAATTTCATACTGGATGACAATGAGCCAAGTCAAAACTTCTACACTAACAACATGAGCTGAACCCCCAAAAAAACACCACAATATGGAAACAGCCAGAGAATGGAAAGTAGCAAATGAGCTAAGAATTTGTAAGGTGACACAAAGTTTCCTCAGTACAGGTCATATTTGTTATCAACATTCGAACCCTATGGCTGATATGTACGTGTCTCATAAGATTCAGTGGCCGTAATAATCGGCTTAGAACTGAAAGAAGACGCCAAGCAACTTTCAAGTTGCAAAACCAGACGATAGATATGAGTACGCAACCGATGCATCACCATAGAGCGCATTAAACAGCCTAAATTCTCAAAACAATTCATTACCTTGAAACCTCCTTGTTAAAAGACCATTGGGGACCACAGTTCCCGGCAACGATCCAGCGGCAAGCGTTGACATGGCCACCATGTTTCAAGACCTACAACGCCCAGCACATGAAAACACCGTTAGCAACGAAGTAAGGCGGAGCTCATGTTCTGCCTCAACAGAAGTGTAACCTAAACACAATACAAACGGAAAATGGAGATTGCATAACAGAGGATTTGGCGGTGTGAATGATGTTTATCAAATTTGTCCGCAGGAAATGATGATTTGGCACTCCAAAGTCCAAAAGAGTAATGGGATATTTCCCATCCTACAGGCTTTCTTGTTAACAGTAGTGCTAGCAAAGAGGCCACGTTTTGGAAACGCCATATACAGGGCATAAATGTGATGTCTTTGTTCAGCTCCGTCAGGCCGTGCTATTTCCTCCGCGTCGATTTACAGAACTTGTGATATGTTATTAAATCAAACAGTTTTGCTAGAACTCATCTAGATGAGATTTAATTTGGTCTCATTCACCTTTTATAGCCATTGAATGTGGTGCTATAAGATGCGTGTGTGCTGACGTGGGTTGTATCCGTTCTTGTTTTCCAGGTGAATGAGACCAAATTACGTCTCGTCTAGATGAGTTCTACGTACTCCCTAAATCAAATCAGCAAGAACCAAACCATGGACCAGAACAAGGGGCGCCACGATTAGTGCCAGCCAGAACAGAGTCCAGCAAAGAAAGGGGACGCCTCAAGCGGGTGCCGGAGATCTGCTACTGCGTACCTTTGAGAAGGTGGCCGGAGATACGAGGCGTCCGGTGCGGGTCTCCGCGGCTTTCCTTGGCGGCGGCGGCGCGCCGAACCCTAGTCCCGCTCGCCTCTCGTGGCCGGAGATCGCTCTCTCGCCGCCGGAGAGGAGGGGAGGGATGGATTGCTTCGCTTGCGGTTGCGGACAAGCGACGGATCGGCCGAGAGAGAGAGACGGAGACCCGGCCGCCGTCGTAGATGGGCCCCACCTCGGTTACTCTTGGGCTTTTCTGGCCGCCTTCGAGGCCACAACTGAGGCCCAGCTACGCGTCGTGGCCAGGCGCGCGAGGGCCCAGTAGGCTATCCGCGGTCAAACATAATAAAAATTACATCGAGATTCCCGTGGCCACCAAACGACCACTACTGCTGCCGAACAAGCCGTTGTTGCCGCTCCTCTACCGGAGCCGGCTTGACCTTGTCAATGGCAGCCGAGAAGTCTTCGTGCACGTGCCCCTAAGAAGCAGCGCCCTGGAGCCAGAGTCGTAGTCGTTGAATCCTTTGCATAAATCTGAAGCATTTGACACCAAATCTCGCCATATAACGAGAAACACTCACCGCCCCGAGGAGACGACATGAATCTACACCAAAGATCTGTCGACTATGTCTAGATGGACGAGCTCGAGGAGGATCGGAGCCCGAAAAACAAACTAGAAGAAGTATCAATGCCATCCGCCCGAGCACCGCACTGTCAGGACTACCCTAACTAAACTACTAACCAAAACGGAGGCACCGGGATTCCCCTCACCGCCACCAGCCGCCGATATAGCAGGCAGAAGGGAGGCGGAACCACAGGCTTATTAGTGAAGTCTGGAGGGAAAAGTTTGCCCTAGCCGCATAGGATAGGGGAGGAAAAAGAGAGGCAGCTCATGAAAATCTAATCTTGTTGGAGATCACATGTTAGTACATGCTTAGGTTCCCTAAAAAATGCATAAGCATGATTTGGTTCGACACTAAAATGTTTTAGTACAACTTCTCTATGTTGGAAAAGTTCATTTATAGAGAAAAATATCGACATTTACAATATGAAATAGGCATTATTAGATCCACCATAAAATATGCTTTTAGATTTTATTTATTTAGTGTAACAAATATTAATATGTCTTTCTGAATATAAATAAGCTTGGTTAAACATAGGACACATTTAACTTAAAATAATTATGCACCTTATATTTGAAACAGATGGAGTGTTAGTTATCAATTGGTTTCCTACCAAATTGTTTTGTTATTCTCTAGTAAAGTTGTCGGTTTTTGGTAAGAATAGCTCTAGAAGAGTCGCTAAAAGCCACATGGACTGCGCTCCATGATTTTTTGGAGGTTGTCGGGCTTGTGTGTAAACACAGAGTAGCCAAACCGCGGCCCCCATATTTATTTATTTATTTGTATTTTTTCAAATGTCTAGCTTCAACTTTAGGCATTCAAAGAGTGAATAAAAAAGTAAATCAAACACAGAAAATTAGCTAGTTCTTGTAATAGGAGGAAAAATTCGTCATACCTGCATATAATTTGTGACTACAAATGTTAGAGAAGCGAAATTTGCATTGCTAATTTCTATTTTCTAACAACGGATATAACTAGTACCTTTTTCCCATTAACAAAGCATCCCCTTTTTCTTCGCTCTTTCGAACCGATACAGAAAATAATATAGTTCAATGTGCGTGGGTGGTGGCTTTCCAAGGTTAACCATGGGATATCTTTTGCAAGTTGCAACATTGGGTTTTTGACAGTGGTGAAGATCACTCAGTACAGAGAACCTTCCTCACTTCATCATATTGGAAGTTATACAGAACACACGAGTCCGGATTTTTGGCTCCAAGAAGACTCATAGTTTTCAAAAATTCAAAAAATAGATTTTCCAAAAATAAAGTCACAAGTACGCGCAATAAAACCTATAAGCTCTAGAGAATTAGAGCATTGTGCAACTATTTGTATCACCTATGCATCAGCAAACAAGTTTTTCTTTCTTCTGTTCTTTTCGGTATTGTATTGCTCGCAGTCAAGGAGCTACCCTTATACTCCACCTTTCACCCCACCACAATTTTTTTCAGATTTGTTCGGACAAGTTTACTAAAAGTTGGTAGCTAGTCTCTTCTCCTTGGGGCTTTTGACTTTTAGCTACATTTTGCGTTCAGCAATTGATTTGTTGTGCTACTGGAGGTATCTTCTAATTATGGTCACAACTATTGGTGTTTGTCCCGTGATCTTTGCAATAACGAATGTCTATGTGCATCTTGATGTTGGCACATAGATCAGTGGAGCAATTATCTCTACCTAAAAAAACTAAGGTCATCGACCATGTGTCCTGAAAAGCGGTTCAAAGCATCGTTTGAACTAAGTCTACACTCGGGATACCTAAATTAAGGTAGAAATCTGTAGCAATGAACCAAGTTTTTGGTTTGGCTCGAAGTGAAACACAAAATGAAAAGAGGGGATGAAAGATAAAATTTCAAACCCCAAGGTTCATCTTATACTCGACAATCAATAACACTTTTTTAACACACTGGGCCACACTCATTCAACTCCATACACATGACTAAAATTGACACTGAATCCAGAGACCCACCCTTTTTTTCCCTTCAAATTTTTGACAAAAGTTGCATAGTCTCTGACCTACGAGAGGACAAACCACTTAAGCAAGTGATGTTTTGATATTGACCTACCAGAGTACAAGGCCTCATGTTGGTGCCTACCATCCAAGGATTTATATGGAGTAAGGCTCCCCCAACAAATGGTGAATAGCTTATTCTCCATTTCATCTTTCTATCTTTGAATAGTTTGTGCATCATTTTGTCATGTTTATGCACAGTAGAAATATGGATTCGGTAGACATAGGCACATAAGGCACCGGGAATTACCGAGATATCATCATGAGTACAACATGCACCTCATTGCATCTCTTGGCGTTGCACCTCTCCCTCATGCTCCACCGTCTCGATCATTCTCCAACTGCTCTGGCCCTCAGCGTACCATGGCACACTTTTGCTCCAGCAACCCCATGCGCCACACTCTCGTCTTATCTCCATGACGCGACAAGATTATCGAGATGTCCTTGAAGCCCAACTCTAAACACTAAGTGTACGTCCTTATCTCCATCCTTATAAGTAGATGGAGAAAAAACGTCAACGAGCCTGCTACAAGTTTTATGTGAGTTGGAGGCTGGGAGCTTCAAAGCTTGGGAGGTGTCATAACATGTGCTCAACGACAATCGGCTACAATCAGCAAACGAAGCCAATGCATTGCCAGATTATTAATGTCACAAATTGCATCCCGATTACCAAATTTTTATGTGCCCTGCTGAGCATTGAACATAAAATATATATAATCGAAGCGCAAAGGTCATTGAGAAATGTACTTAAGCACCAGAATGCACTACAACTACGTATCTCAACATCTGCAGCAGCAACACTCCACTACTATTCACATTTATACAACCAACATATGATGAGAAACAAGGGCCCACTAGACTATAGTGTAGCAAGCTTAGACAGCACCGGCTCAGCCGCAGCCACTTCCCAATCGTCCACAGCGCATACATATTTCCTTCAGTGGCTTTTCGAGGCCATTGTGGCCATCTCTTAGCAGCAAAGCATCCTATGACGAGCAACACGACGTGCTGCTCACCATTCTCTCGGCCGGTCTCTATGAGAGCACCATCCCTGCCTGCGGGTTCTGCGCCTGCTGCCCAGCGAGCAGTCTCTATTTCCTAACAACAGCTATAAACAGTTCCTTATTCCCATTAAAAAATCACCCCCTTTTTCTTCGTTCTTTCAGAACTGGTACAGAATTTGGTGTCTTTTCTACTTTGTTTATGTTATTGACTGGGGTTTGAGTGAAGGCCTATGTGGGATACCATTTGTGTGTGAGATGCTCATTTAACTTTCGTAGTCATCTTGTTCCTTATTTACCGGGGTGCAGGGCCATTGCTTACTATCTAATAAAATAAATTCATTTAGGCCCCTCTGAACTTTTGTCATTATTTAAAATATTTGCATGCTTAAGTTTGCAAATTCAAACTTAATAAATAATCAGGACATAGTTAAATTTGCATGTGGTGCAGGTCAAGTCGAAATTCACCGCCTACACATTCCATGTGAGTACATAGTACCTAAGAGACTAGGTATTTAATGACATAACTAATAATATATAAGATCCTGAAATACAAATAGATGTGTATTCTGAAAGCAGACACAACATCTTCTCTGCATTTGGCTTTGCCCACATGATGCAGGCAAGGCGTAACAAGTGCAAAGGGCTTGTTGGTTAAGTTTTGGTACCACATCATACTTCAACTCTGAATTTAGACTACCAGCGGAAACATATGCCCACAAACACAGTTAAGATAAATAAATAATCCCTCCTATCCATATTAATTGTCGCCAATTTAGTACAATTAATATGGATAGGAGGGAGTTAACACATTCCTTGAGAGAAGAGAACATTTGTGTTGAATCGCCAAAACACTACAATGACAATGTCTATATATTGTGACAGAGCGGGAAGGAGTGAAT